ATCCTTTGAGTGCAGTCTTGTTCCTCGGGAACAAAAAGAAGTCGGCCGGAGCTAGGTCGGGGCAGTAGGGTGGCTGCGGCAGCGTTGCCACATTGAGCTTCGCCAGGAACTCACAGACGAGCAGAGACGTGTGGCTGGGCGCATTGTCATGATGCAGCCGCCAGTTAGCAGCAATGTCTTTTTGCACGCGGATGACCGTTTTCCTTAATCTTTCTAGAACATCCACATAGTAGGGAGCTTTGACAGTCTGTCCTTGGGGTAAAAACTCTTTGTGTACCACACCTTTGGCGTTGAAAAAGACGATGAGCATTGTTTTCACTTTGGATTTGCTCATCTTCGCCTTCTTTGGTTTCAGGGAAGCCGAGGTGTGAGCAGACTCCCCATAGGCTTGCTTAAGAAGTTCATGAGTTTCAGTAGCTTTTTTGTTGAGCTTTGTGCAGAACTTGACCGCCCAACATTGTTCGAAAGTATCCGCCATCGCGCACCGTGACGTGGTCACAAAACACAGGTACACTAAATCAGCGATACTGACACCTCCAATGCTCGAGCAGATTGATCTTGGGTGCGCTGTGAAGCTAAAGGCCCCCCCCCAACCCAACTGGTTCCAGCACGCTCTGACCAGTAGGAGCGCGGGAAAGAAATATATTTCATGACTTTTGGGACACACCTTGTATTTTCTTTTCCATTTCCAGATTATCNTTCAAAGGCCTAGACGGGAACCTCATTTAAAGCTGTTGTCAAGTCTGCTTGGATAGCCTGAATGCTTTCAAAACGGCATCCTTTGAGTGCAGTCTTGTTCCTCGGGAACAAAAAGAAGTCGGCCGGAGCTAGGTCGGGGCAGTAGGGTGGCTGCGGCAGCGTTGCCACATTGAGCTTCGCCAGGAACTCACAGACGAGCAGAGACGTGTGGCTGGGCGCATTGTCATGATGCAGCCGCCAGTTAGCAGCAATGTCTTTTTGCACGCGGATGACCGTTTTCCTTAATCTTTCTAGAACATCCACATAGTAGGGAGCTTTGACAGTCTGTCCTTGGGGTAAAAACTCTTTGTGTACCACACCTTTGGCGTTGAAAAAGACGATGAGCATTGTTTTCACTTTGGATTTGCTCATCTTCGCCTTCTTTGGTTTCAGGGAAGCCGAGGTGTGAGCAGACTCCCCATAGGCTTGCTTAAGAAGTTCATGAGTTTCAGTAGCTTTTTTGTTGAGCTTTGTGCAGAACTTGACCGCCCAACATTGTTCGAAAGTATCCGCCATCGCGCACCGTGACGTGGTCACAAAACACAGGTACACTAAATCAGCGATACTGACACCTCCAATGCTCGAGCAGATTGATCTTGGGTGCGCTGTGAAGCTAAAGGCCCCCCCCCCAACCCAACTGGTTCCAGCACGCTCTGACCAGTAGGAGCGCGGGAAAGAAATATATTTCATGACTTTTGGGACACACCTTGTATTTTCTTTTCCATTTCCAGATTATCCACTTCCCACATTAGAGGTAATTTTTGTTTACTGTACTGTATATTCAAAAGATTAGAGAAATATTCTGGTACAAATAAGTTTCCATTTAACCCAAATTCCATTCTGGACAGATTTCATTGCAATGTGGATCTCTTTGCAGTCTAGTAAAATCACATAAGCCAATTCCCTTTTGACATGAGGCAGGAAAGTGTTAACACAATGCTGCTACATTTTGCCCTGTCATACCAAGTGTGATCCTGTTCTGAGTGTTCAGCTTCCCACAGATCAAGTCCACAATTTTGCTGATCCGATCATTGCATACTCCCAGGCATGCACTGAGGCCACCAGCCCCAAGGCTGATGGCTTCATGAACTTCAGAGGTCCAGTATGTTATGGCCATGCACAGCACAGTCTGTCCTGGCCACTGCAGCACCCAGTGGTCTCTTTCTTTGACTGGGTATGCCTCCCATGCATTCTTCACCTGCTATAGAACACAGTAACATTGTAAGCAGAGAACTGTCTGATATTAAGGAACCCAGAAATTGAACACTGCAACGCTAAACCTTGTTGTATGTCAAATGGATTCAAAAGAAATAATAATTTGTAAGATTTGAAATTCTCACAGCAGTGGTTATGAAAACTTTTATCTTCTGGAACATTATGCCATGTAGTCCATTGAAAATAAATCAAAGTTTTAGAGGAACATGCCATATACATCTTCAGGGTTGAAGAGTAATTCAAGAAGGAAACAAGCATGAAGCAGACAGGAAGAAAAGCACATAATTCCACGCTTCTGTGAGCCACAAGCTTTTCTTGCTGCCTGGTTCATGTTGGTGTTATATCAAAAAAGACAGAACTCTTCAAATTATAGCTTGGTTCTCCTGTTTTGTCCACTTCAATATCATCATCACCATCTTCCAACCACACTTCATTCTGCTAAACTTCATATCTACTCAAGAATGGTCTATTGAAATCCATGGTAAATATAAAACCTTAATACAAGAAACATATTTATTACGAAGTGCAGTGAAAGTCATTCCTTTCTCTAGGAGTTAGAACAGAAATATAAGGCCTACTTTCTAATTGCGAAGATTCCTATTAAACTTCATAGACTGCATCCTGTTGTGTGTTGTTGTGTCAAAGGTCATAACATAAGCAATTAAATAAACTTCTATTCCTGATGATCTAGGGCCATAATTATAATTTCTTGTATCAACAAATTTTAATTTGTGTATGTACAAATAATCACTGGCTTACATCCAAAGAGAAACAAATTTTCTTTGGAAGGGCAGCTGTAATGCCATCTTAAAAACTTGGGCAATGATACTAAAAAGTTTAAATCAGAGTTAAAGAATTATCTACATGCTCATTCCTTCTACTCTTTAGATGAATACTTCAATGTAAATAGAGAATGATGTAAAATTAAGTTATATTAATTTTTAAGCTAAAATTGCCTGTACTTATGTATGTAACCTTTTGAATTGTTCTGTATCCAAAGGTACTAACCTGCTTAGGATTTATAGAATGTAAATAAATTCAATTCAATTCAATTCAATTGCACTAATTCAGAAGATGGGTGATAAAACTGATTGTAGTAATTTGAGATACATGGCATGATAGATTTAATGTTATAATTCAGCAATGATGTACAGAGAACACTGTAGATCTTCAGTGAGGGAAAACTGTCACAGCAAAGATATAAATTTGGTATCTTCCAAATAAGCATTACCATTCAGCCAAATCTCATTCATGCAATATACTGTAGGGAAGTGCACTCTACCATGTGTACACTCTTCTTCATATCCCCTTCTAGCTCCAGCAGCCACTTCTCAACCTGACCCTTAGCAAGTGATGTTGAGATAACATCCACCAACACTACTTCCTCCCCCTCAATCGACTTCATGGCAGTCACATCTAAATCATCTGTAAAGTGCAAGTTTGCAATCCCCTCGAAACACTTTTTGAAATGTGGCTGCACACTGAAACAGTAACATAACAGGTAATAAGGACTTCCTTCAACATTCTCCACAGTGTGACATATGTTTGATGTACATACCCCAAAATGAGTTACAGGTTTCTCTCTTGATTAAAAATTAATGAGTCAAATCAGAAATGACTGGATCAGCACAAACAGTAAATTAATGAGAACTGAGGAAAATCTTTAATATCCTACATCAGGGTCATTGTTCTACAAGCAGAGATACAATTTGGGATCACCCAAATGTGAACCAGGAATTTTAATCATTGAACCAATCAGTTCTGTATAAGAACTGAACCTACTTCCAACTTCATGTTAATTGCCTCCTTGCTCTGAGGACTGCCATTTTATTATATTTTCTTGTTGTCAAAATTGGCATGATAGAATATGAGACCTATTTACTATTTTATGCAGTAGAAGCACTTAAGTAAGTCTGCCATTTTCTGACAATCATAATCCAAGTTAAAATCACTTAAAATAAAAAACAAATTTACTTCTATTCTTCATCAGTACATTACAAAACTTGGCACAATGGCATACGAATTCCAGGCTCTTATTACTAATGGAAATGAAAAATTAGCTGCGAAGTAGGCATCAGAACTCAAGGAATGAGAATATTTGAAGTCACAGCAGTGAAAGACATAATTTCTACATCCACATCAAGAATCAAACTCTGATACTTCAGCATTCAAACATATTAAAAATATTAGAGTATTCAAACACTGACCGAGTGGGATCTTTAGTCTCAGACAAAATTTCTAACAGCTCGTCATTGGATAGAAAGAAGAACCGTGGGAAGTAAAGTCGCTTCTTTTCCAAGTAGTCATTGAGACCTCTCTGTATCACCTCCAGCAGGCCACTGCACTTCTTCAGACGTTCCAACATCTTATCTATCTCTACGACAGATAACACCTTAGGATCACCCACCACTGACTTCATGATGTCCCGCCAAATCTACAAAGCAAAAATCAATGCTAAAACAAAAAATATTTTATCCAGGAAAAATAATAATATTCATGCCTATAAAGTTCATTTCTTTACAGATAGCCAAAATTCCTTATTTTCAAAAATTGGTTTCTGGTCAATTTTGAATAAGTATCAACTAACAGTGAACAGTTGTATGACAAATTGATAATTTTTTATTGTGAAAGAAGAGTTTATTACAATCTCAGTTATTCTATTTATTTAAAATAAGAGGCCTCCACAATTACAGATAATTCATTCATTTTGTCATATTAGCTACATTTCAGATCTTTCAAGAAAACATGCCTGTTAAATACACGCTGTTTACTTTTACAATATAATTTTCCTTAAGACAAAGAGCATGAAGAAAAATTTGGGAAAGATGTCACAGAGAGCGAAAAACATAGAAAGAAAGTGTGAAGGATGTGCTTTGGGGTGACAGATGAATGGACAGACTTGGTTGCTAGATTCCTTCCTTCCTTCCTTCCCCTTGGCAATAGAGCTCAGAGTGAGCTTTGGCCTTTGCCTCCTTCTTCTCTATTCTTCACTTTTGCTCCCCATCGTTTCATTTTCATTTCATGGAGGTCATCATGTACATCCTCCAACCATCTCAGCTCCTTCGCTGATGTCGATTTCTGTTTAAATCCATCCATCTGAGGCAGATTATCTGAACAATTTAGTTTTTATGGTATGAGGTTGTTAGCCTCATGCCCAACTTCCAGCCTGGAAGACCAGGGTATCCATCTTTGTCTGGTTCCTGTTGACCTGTCTGGCATGGGTGATCCTACCAGAAGCTATGCTACCACCAGCACAGCTCTCAGGGTCTCAGGAGCACTCAAACCTCACAGCCATGATGAGGCGGAGACAACATTGGTGGGATGGTTAAAATTAAATTCGCTCAGTGGGGGGTGCAGTCCAACTGGGTCCACTTGGCATGGCAGCAACTGATTGGCCTATTGTAGCCTGCCCAGGTGATTATGATGATGGAGACTTTGGTGGAATGAAGATTGGCAGGAGAAACCGAAGTACTCAGAGAAAACCCACCCCAGTGCCACTTTGTCCACCACAAATCCTACTTCACCAGACCTGGGATCGAACCCGGGCCGCCGCAATGGGAAGCCAGCGACTACCCACTTGAGCTATGGCATGGCCTTCGTGGAGTGGTTGCTAGATACCAATATAAAATGGAAACATCTATGAAAAGATGATTCTTTGTAATCAAGTTCTGACTGGATTGAGATAACAGCATTGAAAAGACCATATGTACATGAATGATGACAATATTTTCCATATATCAGCAGAAAAATGTTAAAAATGTTCTAATATGAATAGATTAATATAATTTTTCTTTGGGTAATATTTGTCTTTGCACACAGAATAAATTTTACTGGAACATTGTTTTCAGACACTGTTCTACCTGTTGGATAAAATTATAATTTGGAAATAAATCTAATTATCCTACAAACAAAATAGTCAGTCCAAGCCTTGTGATATTATTCGTAATTCATATTGTCATCCTAGTGTTTCCTGGAGGAATCTCACTTCAGGTAATTATTTTGTGCAGGTATTTATCCGTTTTCCTAAGTAATTACATCACAAAAGGCAAACACCATACCCTAGTCTCAAATTTCCTTCTGAAATAACCAAAATTATTAATTTTATGGTAATAGTTGTGCTTTACCATTTAGTAACAATTAATTTACTTAGATATTTTGTAGTGTCAAAAAAAGTATTAAGATAATAATAAGTCAGTAGTGATTGGAAATGGAGAAGCAAGGGAGACACCTTCTTTGCTCTAATCTACAGGGACCCCTCAGTTGTAACCAAGATTTTAATTATACACATCCTGAATATGAGATACATATGTATTGTATCCCTTCGCCTCCAATTCCACTACACCCTTGGAAAATGGCATAACACTAACACTGGCATAGGTTGCACAATTTCTCAATTAAAGTTCCTAAATTAATATGCCAACCTTATCAACAGCACTGAATCTGCGTCCTTCTTCAGGCATCTGAGCTTGGATATCAGGTGATGAGAATATTGGTTCAAGGTAAAGCCAAGTTGACTGCACTTTGAGCCACTCATCCAGAATTTCCTGCAGTAATGTTAGTTTGCCTTCCCATATCCTGTAGAAATATTTTATCATCAGATTCGTTATATCTCCCCGTTTTGCTAGCTGTGCACACGTTGACTGGTTGACTAGTCTGTCCACTGGTTTTTCCAAAATTGTATGTCCTTAGGTTAATATGATAATTACTAATGAATTAATTAACACTGCTTTTGGCTGATGTCTGGACTTAAACTAAAGAGCAGAGGGATTCACACTGTGAACAACTTAATGTTAGGTCCCGTGGGTCCTGCTGAACTAATGCACTGACAGTTGTGTAACATATGGACAATACATACTTGCCTACACAACCAGCTAACTCTATGGCACAGAATTTTGCATAAGTGATTTATAGTTACACAGATAGTTGAGAATTCCTCTTCCTTTATGGAACCCGAAACACCATTATCATCTTCACAAAAGGGCCCCACTTCGAGAGAGATAATCTTATTAGTGGCAACAGTTGGAACTGGACCCATGACTTTCTTAGTATTAGGCTATTGTACTAACCAGACCATCCAACTGTTGCCATTAATATAAAATAAAGGTATAACATATCTGCCACTATAATGACAACCAGTCGCCTAAATACAGGCCTACAGACAGTTCCAAAAGTGTCACGTATAACAGTTACACATTAGAAAGTAGACAATGCCCAGCACAATACCCACATAGTTATTTCCCATCTAGATCCACATTCCTATCTCTTCCCTCACAAAATTCTAAATAAAATTTTATACTATTTTCTTATTTCCTCACAGAGCCCAATCTGCTTATAAAATATATTTTACACTGCAATACCAAATTTTATTCAAATCTCTTTGAGAAGTTTTAGAGACGAAATATGTTGATGGCCAGGCATGACAACATTATTCATTCATTTTATGAACTTCTTGCAAAGAATAAATATTAGGATGGAAAATAAAACTATAAAAGCTGAACTTACATAATGTCCTGTTCAAATGGTTTTATGTATGGAGAGCTCTTCATGGTCTGTGTCTTGACAATGTGATCATCCAGCAAGAGCTGTATGTCATCCACTGCACACAAGATGTGCGTACCACTTTCCCTGTAGGCACTAACATTAAACTGCATCTCACCCCACTCCTTCTGCATCTCAATCAAAGCTTTCTCAAGGTTATTCTCCTTAGTTGCAGCTTCACTAATTGCTTCAAAACGTGGCAGGAATTCTTCCAGTCCAAAGTCAATTACTTTTGCAAGAGTTAAATCTGGACCAGGTTTTATTGGGAAGCCAACAAGTTCAGAAACCTTTTCCCAGTGTCGCTCTTTCATTCCTGGATTTCCCAGTGTTTGAATGATAGGCAAATGTTCACGGAACTCTTCTATATTTTCCCGGACCTACAACAAGAAGTGAAACTAGAGAATTATATAATAGAACCAATAAACAGACGTAAAATCACCGCAATGTACACATCATGGTGAAAAAGCAGTTATTTTAGAGTAATTTTTCTAACCCTTCTCTTGTTTAATATTTATTATCAACACCTGCTGAAGTGTGAAATACCCTTGATTTTTGAAGGCTTCTACTGCTTGGTCTGCCAAAGAGGAATGAGGAATTCCCTCCAAAATTTAAAAATATGCACATTTTTCCAGATTTGTCAGCAAACAATATTTATTTGAATAGTAACATCCAAACTTTGGACTTCAAATTGTATTTAAAGTCTGTCTGGCAATCCATAAGATGGTCTTCTTGATAATACTCTGCAATGTCATGTATGTTTTAACTGATCCATATGAACTAAAATTGAATTTACCTCAAAACTTTTACACCATGCTTCACAGAAATTGACCAAGTGCTTCCGGAGACAAAGCATGAGCACAACTAAAGTAAGAAACAGAGACTTAACCTTCCAACTAATTTTATGCATTTCCTGCAAAGAATATGTGACACTGGCCTGAACAGGAGGTGTTAATCTGCTGCAGAGGAAAGTAAAGAAAGCACTTACAGTGGAAGTTAAATCCTTCACTGCAGGTTGTTCAGCAAACACCTTCTCCAGCTTATAAATGGTTTGGCAAAACACACCTACATCAATGTCAATTTCATCCGGATCATGTGACCCCACCTGGCTGTTCATCCAGACCTCATGTTTTGAAATAAATTCAGTCGCATTTTCATACAACTTCTTGTATGGGCTCAGCTTATCTGCCAGCTGAAAGAATGAATCCAGTTTTTTAATAAATCGCATTCACAAATTAACAAAAGACATGTGAAAGTGGTGAAATTTAATTTCTCGAAGATATTAACACAAACACAATATAATTGAGAAAAAATACGCATCAGTGAAAAGTAATTTTTATCCACAGATAGTAAATTTCTGAGTGGTTTGGTACAATGACAGGCATGAGAGAGCATAAAATGATAGTAAGAGTTGTATATTTAACAACTACTGTTACGGATGATCAAACAACATCTTTGGAACTAAACATAATGATGTGCTTAGAAAACAATGTTTCAAGGCACTAAAACAAAAATTAACAAGGAAATGAAAAATTGCTGAGAATATTAAAATAATCTTATAAAATTGCGTCCTGTTCACATTAACTTTTAAGTTGTAAGATCAGTTGTCATAGAGACTTATGTTAAGAATGTTCCCATTTCTTATTTCTAACTACACACTACATTTTTCAATCATAAATAGCCATCAGTAGATGACATACAAATCAACCAAAAGTATCTATGTTGGTAAGTATCAATTTTGTGATGACATGAGAATGTCAATGCAAAATAAAGTAATACCCATACAAATACATCATTTTCTCCAAATTTTTCTTAAGATCCATGTTTTCACAAAATTTGTCTTTATGGTATAGATATTTTTGGCTACTTTGTGTATATATCACCTGATGATTATTATTTATGGTTGAAATAAGTAATGCAAAATTATAAATAAAGAGAAAGAAGTTTTTAATATAAGTTCATGACAGCTTTATGACTTGAAGGCTTCAAAATAGTAAAACAGTTTGGTCTGAATGAGAAGAAGGGGAAAAATGATAAACATGGAAATTAATAGGAATGAGTTAGTATAGGTGAGCCAGGGTAGAACATTTGGTATAGTGACTTCCTACGGGCTGGACAACCGAGGGGTCGGAGTTCAAGTCCCTGTTGGGTAAGAATCTTTTCTTCCCCATGTCAGTCAGACCAGCTCTGGGGCCGACAAAGCCTCCTATCCTATGGGTACTGGGAGTTCTTTCGCCATGGGTAAAGCGGCAGGGGCGTGAAGCTGACCACTCACCTCCAGCTAGTGCCGAGATCAAGAAAATGTGGATCTATATATCCACTCCCCATACACCTTCATGGTGTAGTGCTTAATTAGTTAAGCACAGGGACAACTTTACTTTTACTTTACAAGTTAGTATAAGAAACAGACAGAATGACAAAATGTTGGGAAGAAAAACTGTAAATACTTCTTTATGATAATCCAGAATTAGGCAACAAAGAAGAAGAGGATGGGCTATTTTATCAGTTAAAATAAACTGTGGAGACAGCATTAAATTGCTAATGAATTAAAAGCATGACTTGAAGTCAGTAGTTGTATGTGGGTGGGGTAACACTCGAACAGTGTAACTGAAGTGACATGGCAAAACGTAATAAGAAGTATGTCTGAAAGAATCTTGTAGAAATTTAGACTACATTGGTTGAATATGTTATGTCCTGAGAAAATTAGAAACTAACAAGGACAAATTTCATTCTATCATTAATTCATCAATGGCTCTACAGACCTTTGTTGGGCCCTGGCCACTTCTTCAGTTTCGTAACACCAAGGACAAATACAAATATAAAAATAATATCGATACCAAGAAGATGGTAATATAACCAGGAAAAGATAACATACACACACTGCAAAGAAATTTCAAATGAGAGTTCCTAACAAGACAAATGTACATGGTCATCACCAGCTTCTATGAGGAAGGGGACTGTTTCTCATTTGATGTTCTACATACTGTAGCGTGTACAGCCACTACTGGGTAACGATCTCAAAATAAGCAACAAAACAACATTCGCTGCTAGGCAACTGCTTTTTAACAAGCAACTATATGTGGCTGTTACTGGGTAACACCTTCACAAACAAATATGTTTCCATGGAAACAACTGAAGAGCAAAAGAACAGTGTTTTCTATGCAGTCTGTGCAGATATTTTATAGCTGAGACAAATTTACAAGTGAGTCAGTAGTAAGTTTTATGGGAGTCTGTGAAAAGAAGACTTGGTTGGTGCATTTGAAGAATCCCCACTGTTAGGAGCTGTTACCAGGGAATGACTATGGAAGACTACAGCAGAATGAAAATACTTAGCGTGTGTTGTGCAAAATGTGGAAAACAGCGATGGTGCTATAATTAATTGTAGTGAAAAGTCATGTGTTAAAGTGGTCAATAAATCCAATCTCCAATCCAAAACCCCATGAAGAGTCACCCATATACATAATAATATAGACATGATAACAAGAAGAAAGTTGAAATATAAAAGGTAATAAATCATTATGGGTAAGAAAAATACATTGTAGCTGATCTTATATCATTTGCAGAATCAGATGATGATTTGTAAACAAATATGTATTTTTTAATTTAGCAGTTGTAAGAAAATTTAAGTAAATATAAGTAAAATATACAACTTTGCTAGATAAGAATTCAGTAGAATAAATACATCAATTTTAGTAATTATGAATTTTTTAAACCACAGCATCAAGTTAGAGTTTGGCTATAAAAGACAAATATTCATATGAACATGTTGAATCACTTTCAAATATTCTGGTACAATAATGTCAAAGAGTAAATATTCAAAATGATAAAAGAAATTAGTAAAATATAGCAGTGACACAATGACACATGGACTTAGTGAAACAGAAAAGATAAAGATAAATCAACAGAATAAGAATTTCAAGATACTTACTTATATCCTTAAATTAGAAAAATACCAACATACAAGCTAGCATAATATTACAGCGTTCCGTATATAATGCCTCCTATTTTTTTTAAGAAAACTACAACAGATACAGAAAGCATAATAATGCAGTTAAATAGAGCAAGATTTCAGCTACTTATAGTTATTTTTTCCACATAATCATCACCATTCGTTATGCACTTTTGCCAGAGATTAACAAGAGCCTGTATGCTGTGCCCATAAAAGTCTGCGCTAGCAGAGGCTAGCCACTTTCTTACAGCTGCAATGACAGCATCGTTGTCTGGAAAATGTTGCCCACGTAGTCCATCTTTCTTAGGCCCAAAGAGATGGAAGTCTCAAGGTGCTAAATCGGGGCTATAAGGTGGATGTGGTAGGACAGTCCAGCCAAACTTTGCAATGTGCACGGTGGTCACCAAACTTGTATAGGGTCTAGTGTTATCGTGTTGCAAGCAAAAGGTTGTCTGCTTCTTTGGCCTGACTTGGAAAATACGGGCTTTCAGCTTAGTCAGCTCGTTTTGTAGCGTTCAGAATTGACAGTCCCTGGTCATTATCTGCTGATCTGTATGGATGAGGCGCTGTTCATTGTGAGGAGTGGCATCTGAGCAGGGATGCCCAGGGCATGGCGTGTCGTGCACTTCACTTTCGCCACTGTTGAAACGCACTACCCACCACCTCACTGTGCTCACTTCCACTGTATTGTCTCCGTACACCTTTAGCAGGTGTCGATGGATGTCAGTGGGTATAATTTGTTCGGCAGTGAGAAATTCAATAACACATCTGTGTTTCATACGCACTTCAATGTCAGACACCATTTTGGTAGACTGCTCTGCTGTCGCTATCTGTCACACAACAACCAAACTAACAGTATATTGGCGGGAAGGTTCAATCTTTACTACAACACCACCAATATCCAGCTCAGACGTTACATATTAACACAAAAAAATAGGAGGCATTACTTATAGGAACACCCCTAGTAGTACACCTGAAGGGATTATTACATATAGGTTAGTTGGTCAAAGATAGCATGGACTTCAAATGAATGCACACTTAAAAAAAATTATGAAAAGACACTAGAAATAGGACTTCAAGATCAGTCCAAGCACTAAATTGTCTAATCCATGAAGAGAAGAAGAAAAAGAGCTATAATGAAGCTTTCATATAGAAACCAATGGAAAGTGGCCAGACTCTTACTGTTGTTAACTGCCTCAATGAAGGAAGATGAGAGGGCAGACAAAGGTCACACTTCTGAAAGCCTATTGTATCAGCCTGCCAAGTGACATCGTGCTGCGAAAATGAATTGTTTTCACATGAGTGCTTTTTTTTTTCATGTTTCATTTTGTCTGTGATGGGCAGTGGCGGTAATGATGCCATCCTCGGTGAGGTTGGCCGAGCCACAGCTGTGTCTTTGGTGGGGACGTATCATAGACCAGGGATGCATTGGGACACAGCTTTGGAACACCTCCTCATGGTCCCGCCGGGCAACGACAGTCTTGGGGGTCTGGATCAGTATGACCTTCCGGGCTGGCGGCTGAGTTTCCATAAAGGGCCATGGCTATATGACCGGAGCCTCTCACACGGTGGCATAATGACTCTTGGGTGTCACTATGGTGCACCCAGGAGCACTCCTATGGGGGTAGCTACAGCTATTTGAGTTGTCTCCCTAGAGTACTGATAATGTACCGCAAGCTTTAGGGCTCAACACTCTAAAATGGTTTCACCAGCCCATGTGGAGGGGAATGGGGGAGCTCAGAAGCAACCCCCAGGGGCGATAATCTCGTGTAGGATGCCCTGGCCGCAACCTCATGACTAACTGGTATCGCGCTCCCATTTATCATCTGGGACATCCTTCTCCCCCCGAACACGCACTCTTGGTCCTGGAGGCTTGTGAGGGTTGCATTTACTACAGGACCAAACCACCTAAGCCAAGGTGTGAGGCATTGTTCTGAGGACTGCATGGTACTGGGGTGGTAATTAGCCAGTGTCCTGAATGATCCCCTCGAGGCACTAGGCAGCACCCCGTTGTATTTATGCCTTCCACCCGTATAGGGCGCTGAGGGTGATGACCTTTTAAATCCCTACAACTCGTGGAACCAAAATGAATAAAGGAACCAAATTAAAAACCGGTCATAAACATCTTAAACTGAAGAGGTACCACCCCCCCTCCAAGGGGATCCCTATGAGAAATACTTCAGCAGGGGGCTAGAAGCTCTGGTGAACCATTAAGGGGCCCAGTTGAAACCAGCAAACCTGCT